CATTTGATTAGTCATTGTGTATTCGACGACCAATCTAACCTCAAGTCTTAATTGTTTAAAATCTACAGAATCTATCTCCTTTTTTACAACTTACCACATCACAGTTTTCTATCTTATTTTATTATAAACTAACTATAACTTGACCGTCAATAATTCTACCTCACTTTAAGAAATACTCAATTGCCCATTTTATTCTAAAATCCTATTATTGTCCCAATTTTTGCTTTAAACTATACTGACCAAACTTATTTGTAAACTCTTTATTGACCATTTTTATTCTATTCTTTTTTAAACTAGTTATTTTTCACTACAACATTTTATTATTATCCCTGTCTACCATCTAACTACATATAAACCAAGTCATTGCCATTTTTACTTTTAATCATTTTTTAATTATCTTTTGCTACCTTAACTTGCATATTTTATCTTTGTCAATTTAAATCTAGTTTAACTCTAATTCTTGTAAACAACTATATAAGACCTTAGTGCAATTACAACTGAGAGTCTTGTGCATTTTTATATTATTAGATTAAACTCAGTTGTACTATAGCTCATTCTAGCTCAAAAACATAGTCAATACCAAATTCGCTATATTAGACCATAGTGCAATTACTAGTGAGAGGGCTGGTGCCCATTTTTTAAATTTTTATTTTATATTATTAGATTAAACCTAGTTGTACTATAGCTCATTCTAGCTCAAAACATAGACCCACAAAAGTCATTTTATTAGACCTTAGTGCAATTAAAAGTGAGAGTCTTGTTCTATTTTTATTTGTATTTTATATTATATTTATCCCTAGTTGTACTTTAGTTCTTTCCCAGCACAACACATAGACAACTCAACTTTCATTATGTGTAGTAGTGACTATACTCTATATGACCAAATACTCTAGCTATATACTTGTCCAAACTTCCCACCACACAGATTTCACTACTAGAACCCCAACACACAACTCAGGATATAAATAACCATAATTTAAACCTAGAAGAGATTGATCACGTTGAACCTGATCTAAACCTCCAAAATCTGACACCCAATCAAAACTATTGGAAAGTAACTGCCTTTATTACACAGCATCACAAGCCAACACTATCCTAAACAATGCTAAAAGTCTATCAGTACTTAACTACAACATCAGGCCCTTAAACAAACACTATGATGACCTCCTGCACTCCTTGAATCACTAAAGACACCCTTCTCCTGCATTATTCTTACTGAGACCTGGCTTAAGCAGGACACAATAGATATCTACCCCCTACCAGGATACACAGCAATTCAAAACTGCAGACCAAACCAAGTTGGGGTGGTATTGCAATCTATTACTCTAACCAATTATCTTGTATTAGCACCACTTGCTTTAGTGATGAATATGGGGAATACATTTTTGCTAATTTTACTGTAAAAAACCTTAAATGGCACCGATTGTTATAGGTGCCATTTACCGGATACCTCACACAAACATCCCAAATTTCAGTGAGAAATAAAAGTCACTAATAACAAACAGACAAATGAATAAGCACCACCTTCTCTTAGCTGGAGACTTCAACATCAACCTTGGCATACTAGATGATCAGCCTGTAACTGACTTCATCAACAATATGAACAACACACTTCTCATACCAACAATAACTAGACCAACCAGGCTCACTGAGACAAGTGCAACCATAATAGACCACATATGGACCAATATACTAGCCCCCCTAAAATCAGGGATAATCACAGATAGTACTACAGACCACTACCCTACCTTCCTCCTGACAAACATTAGTAAACCACCACTTGAATACAACAAAGTCTCATTTAGACTCCATGACGAGGCCTCAATAAGGAAGTTCACAGCTGACCTAGAGACTGTTGACTGGCCTACAGAATTCTCCAAGGCCAATGGTATTGATGACTGGACAGACATTTTTCTTAACAAATTACAGTGGACCCCTGGTTAACGATATTTTTTCACTCCAGAAGTATGTTCAGGTGCCAGTACTGACCGAATTTGTTCCCATAAGGAATATTGTGAAGTAGATTAGTCCATTTCAGACCCCCAAACATACACGTACAAACGCACTTACATAAATACACTTACATAATTGGTCGCATTCGGAGGTGATCGTCATGCGGAGGTCCACTGTACTTAGACTATACAACAATCACTGTCCTATAAAAACGAAACAGATCACAAACAAACGGCTTGGTTGCCCATGGCTAACCAGCACCATTCTGAAATCCATTGACAAGAAACACCAATATGAAAAGCAATATAGACAGTGCTTAATACACAAAGATATTCTTAAACACTATTCATCATTCTCACCAAAGAATAAAAAAGCCAAACAACTTACACCCAGTAATTCCAACACTAGAGGAGATAAAAAAAGACCCGGGGAAAAAAAAACTCCAATTTTAGGGACCCACAAACTGAAAAAAAAAAA